CGTGCCCACTGCTCCCCTTAGCAGTGTATTTTGTCAGTCTGCCTGTTCTGTTTCCTCTGGTGAATCCTCTCACCCTCCTGCACATCTGGCCTATACCCTGGTTCTTGTATAAATAAATAAATCTTTGAAAAAAAAATTTCCAGTATACATTTACACAAATGGTGTGCATGTGTGTCTGCTTCCTCACACCATTACCAGCAATGAATGTAGGTCTCTAGTTTAAAACTCATAAATGATGGTCAGAAAACCTTTTCTCCAGTTTCTATCAAGCGATACGAATAAAGACATTGAGAAGTATAATAACAAGAAATGCTAAAGTTGAAAGGAGTGATGGGGTTTTAAAAGGGTAAATGACTGGAAATGAACAAAGCAATGAGGAAATTGGAAAGGGGGTAAATATAAAAAAAAAGGGTAATTCAAAAATAACCCTGAGAATCTAGTTGTGAATCTGATAAGATCACCAAAGGCTGAGGAACAAGATACAGTTTGTGATTTCATAATTTGAGTATAAAGGAGGGTCAGAGTCAATCCAACTGAGTCAGAAATTTTAAGTTCTAACTTTGAACTATTTGCAAATTTTCTTTAGAACTTTCTTTGGAGTTAGAATTTTTTCCCCTTAATTTCAGTAAGTTCCCCTTCACAAAGCTGTATTACCTCTGAAGACAATTCCCAAAGCTCACTTGGAATTTTTAGAGTAGAACAAAGTACATATTTCACACTTTCAAAGAAAATGTTCAGACTTTGGTTGCAGTTGACTAAATTCAAAATGGCTTTATTTTAAAACCCAGGAGAGAAGAAATAATATCTAAAGGAAATGAAGTATTTTAGATTATATGCTTTACGATAGTTCAAAATGAAATGAGTGATACAGGAACTCTGAATTAGCAGTAAGGGACTCTGGTTGGTCTAGTGTTATCTGTAAGTGCTTAGAAGTAGAGAAGAGTTATTTTATTTCCTTCCTGAATGGACAAGATTTTCACTCTACTTCTGTGTTCTGGGTCACCTCTATTCTTTTTTCTCTGAGTTTGCTTCTCTAGCTTCTGTATGTATGGGAGGAGAAAGTATGGGAGGAGTATGGGAAAGTATGGGAAAGTATGGGAGGAGAAAGCAAGCTAGTCCAGAAGGGCAGGGATTGGTCTTGGAGTGACCTAGGCAAAGGCCTAATCTCCATTCTTCTATGAGTAATGGTTGAAGCAAGTTTTGAACAAGCACAAAAGGTCAACATATTATAAATGTTTACTCCTTTTACTGTTTGTTCATTTGTTTTTTAAATCAACAGACAACTTTAACAGCCAGATTAGGATACATGTTTATGGGAACCAATGTTGGGAATCCATCTTGATTCAAAAAGGGCTTGGAGTATAAGGAAATACCTTGGTAATTTAATAAAACTAAGACCCAATTGTTGTGACCATTTCAAAAGAATTCATGCAAGTCAAAAGTACTTATTTAAAAAAGAAATCGAGAAAAGATGTTTGAGATTCTATAGAGTTTTGTCAGTCCATGAGTCAGATATTCATATAACAAAATAAAAAAGAATTTGTATACACATTGATAAACTGAAATATTTTATGTGGATAGCTTACAGTGTGCTCTGGACTTCCAGAGGGACTGAAATAACATAGCTATGAAAGAATTATTGCTGAAGAGTTGGCTCTGTATTGGTACTGTCACAAAGAAAATAAGATAGCAAAGGCAATATGCAAACCATCACAGTCACAGTCCTGATTATTCCAGCCCGTCATTTGATGATACAATTCAATTTGGGAAAAAAAATATGCCCCAAACTCTAGGAAGGCTGAGAATCTAGGAAGATTTACATAAAATTTAAAGATGAATATATAAAATTTTGAAAATACTAAAAGCAAAAGCAGTATCTAAAATACTTCCCTTAGTAGCTTTTGCTTGGGGTCTGCAATGCATTTCCCACAGTTGCCCAGTATAGAGAGGAAAGCTGTCAGTATCCATTCCCAAGTTTTTCTCACAAATATATACCAAGGGAGGTACAACAAAGTCTACTTTGGATTTAAGCTATGAGCATCAGATTTTAAAACAAAGAATAAAATGTTTGAGTTTATTTCAGTTTTGTCTCACCGAAGTCAGAAAATTTGGGAAAGTAGAATTCTCGTTTTTATTAACGATTTAAGAAAGTAGAGGGGTGATGCCATTTTCATCTATTAATATGGGGGGGCAAATAAGGGATAATGTGACTACATCCTGACATTAAAAATGATTTTGCCATTGTTCCCTAATTACAAACAATGATGGTTGTGGCAAATATGGATGAAATAATAAGATCATCTTTAACACTACCATTAAGCTTGATTTGGGGTCTGAGAAAAAGAACACGATAAAAAGACTAATTTCACAGAATGACAAGCTAAACTTTGATAATATTCAAAAGTGATTAGAGAAATCCTAATAAAAAAACCCGATAGGTTTATTGTTTTAATTTGGAGCACCTGCCTCGCTAGACAAAACTGGGGAAATATTTTTACAAGTACATTGTACCTACACTAAATGGAAAGCACCCATGGAAACTCTGATGTGTGATAACCAAAACAATGTCATCTTAGTCAAAACAATACACAATATACTTCTGCTCAAAAAATCTAATCTCCACAAGCAATGTCTTATGAAAAATGGCATTGGTAAGTGATCTGTAATATTCAGATAGTTGAAGAAGTAAATTTATGTTGTAGGATGAGCTACATAAGGAATAGGTAAGCTACATAAGGAATCTACTTTCTTTTCTATTTAGCAAATTTTAAAATGATAAAAATGATTAGCATTCAATCACAACAAATGTTTCTTGATAAATACAATGTATTTATCTATATATTGACAAATTCTTGTCTTCCAGCTATAAAGTAAACTGTGATGTAAATAAAACTAAGTGTGCTTCTTACATTTTCTTTGCAGTTGATAAATGTCTTAAGTTCTATTTTACTGGAGATAAGTGATGACCTAATGATGACCTTTCCCCAAACCCCCATTCTGAAGAAAGCATCTCTTTTGCCAGGTCCTTTATGGCAAAATTGTTTTATTTGTTTGTATTTTTGCTTTTGTATCTCTTTTAGATACCCTGGAACCCAGAATATATTAAGTAGGCACCCTCAAAGTATATTGTTATGATTCAACAGTGAAAGAAATCAAAGTGTTGTCCCATGTCTATGTCCAAAATTCGCATGTACTATGTTTAAAAAACTACATCCAAGGATTATGTAACAAGAAAGGAAAGCATAAATACATACAGAATTACAGCTAAAATTCTGATGGCAACTTCTTAACTTAAATTTAGATAATTGATTTTCATATATTTTAAAATGCTTTTCAGGCACTTAGCACTATAGCCACAGAGAGTAAAAACATCTCTAAAAAGAAATTCTTTGTTTAAAAAGCCCATCTACTTTAACCTAGAAAAAATTCTTAATTACACGATAAAGTAACTCTCAGTAATATATGAGTACTGGTTTAGGAACTCTTTATTAATCCTATATTCAAACAAAACCTGTGGCGGACTACATATGCATTTTATTTTATTTTATTTTACTTTTTAAATTGCATTATTTTTTAACAGAGGTAGCATTGGTTTATAACACTGTGTGTTGCAGGGGTGTAGATTCACACCTCTTCACATGTATGTTACATACCACATCTACCACTAAATCTCCCATAATCCTGAAGTCTGTATGTATTTAAATGGATATGCATACCTGAAGAGAAGTATTTAAAAGGGACCAAGACCAGAATTCGTGTGTACCTAAAAAATGTACAGTATTATGGGCCTCCCCGGTGGCGCAGCGGTTGAGCGCTGGGTTGCGAAGCTGCCCGCAGCCTCTGCAGCGCCGGTTCAATTCCTGGCTGCTCCCCGGCCACCAGAGGAGGGTCCCACATGGTGCGCAGACCTCTCCTGCCGCCCGCTGCTCCCCTCAGCAGTGTACTTCGGTCCTTCTGCCTGCTCTGCTCCCTGCTCTGGCTCTGGTGAATTCTCTCACCCTCCCGCGCTTCTGACTGTACCCAGTGCATGTATAAACGAAACAAACGAACAAACAAACAAATAAATAAATAAAACATGCCTCTATAAAATAAAAAAAAATGTACAGTATTATAAAAATACTTTACAGATCTTAACTAGCTACTGGGGATAATTTACTTCCTTTTCTTTATTTTCTACCCTATGAGGAGAATATTTAATACTCATTATCAGCTGTCAGTCTGCCATCTCGGCCCCTAGCAGTATATCAGGGTATCTTCTCCAATCTCCAACACACACAACTGAAATCCAGCTCAAAGTCATAGTATTCTATGCCCCTTAGTTATCCTTCATAATCAACTCTAGACTCATCACTGAGTCTCAAAAACCAAATTTATACCTCTTTTCAAGTAGTATGCTGTAAAATGTAATTGGAAGGAGATTACAATAATGAATCAGTTCTCCAGACAGGTATGTCAAAGATACTTTTCAATCACTCACTGCTTCACAGCGACAAAGTTATGCACTAACCCTATAGAACTGTGAGAGCAGAAAGGCCACATCACCCAAACACTTCATGGCTCCATAACAAACTGATTTGGAGTCCTGCTGCAAAGTCACTCACATTTGCCAAAAGAGATTTTGAGTACAAACAATGAATTTAAACAAAATGAAAACAAAACATAACAGGCTGACTCACTCCAACATTCCTGATTCCATCCTATAGGAAGAAGTCTATGAAATGATCTGATAATTAGCCTTGGGATTTCCATGTCATTTTCATAACCTCTGCACAGTGTTATATGTATTAAGTAGTGACTGATTAAAGACTCATACATCTGACAAAAAGCTTAATTCAGAGTGGAGTGAGATACCACAGGGTTATTTTTTGGTTATTTAAAAAAATCTCCTAATCAATAGTCAAGAAATCAATAAAGTCAGTTTATCCTATGCCCTACTTCCTATCATTTATTTGTATCAGACATTAAAATTATAATCTACTGCCATCCTGAAGAGCACTCACCTCATTGTCTGATTCCACGAGAACTTGATCATATTCACTAAGCGCTACTAGAAACATGATAGAGGTGACATTTTCAAAGCAGTGTATCCATTTTCTTCTCTCTGATCTTTGGCCCCCCACATCGACCATTCTGTAAGGTTAACAATATTTGTATTAATAGCACATAAGGAAAAAATCAATATATCTTTACTAACAAACTCTCTAAGGAGAATGGCCATCCAAATCAATTAATACTTATTGAAGATCTACTAAATTTTTATCACCGAACAAAGTCAGCACAGTCTGAGTAATAAATCACTGTAATATTAGAAAGTTGCTAGGTATTTATGAAAATAACTTTGCCAGTGAAGAGTCTACTGCCAAGGCAAGCAAAATGGAGTTTATTTCATCAAGCACTAAAGACTCAGACAAAAATGAGTTTTATTCATGTTAAGCTCTAATGGCAAATATTTAGTTCAGTTTCTTATAAAATGCAAATGAGGATCCTCATGTATTTTTCAAGGATGCTAGAAATGGCTGCAAATATATTTAAAAGATATAAGATGCTGTATGTTTCAATGCAGGTGTGTGAGATGCTTCAAACACAACTCCACTGAGCCTTCATCACCAGGGTAAATATTTTGGACTTTTTCCCTTTACAAAATTGGTAAAATTTGGGACAGTTTCAGTGATGTGAGATAATACAGTTCAATTATGCTATGCATAAAACAAGTTGCTAACCTATTAAAGTGGATAAAACATCAAGATGTTAAAAAAGGCCATCATTTAAACTATTTCCAGGACTTGTTTTTTAACACATCAACTCTGTGCTAAGTTACTACTCAGCAACTAACACTAATATAAGTTAATTTGCATGATAATGTGCATTATCATTATATACCATGCAATAAGAAAATACATAGCAGTAGTTGGCACTGAATTGAAGGTTCTTTGAATTGTTGTATCCCTATCTTGACCAAACAGTGTATGACGTTCACAGGATACAAACCTTTTAGAGAATCAGAGTTTAATGTACAAAAATTTGAGAGTATGGCCCTTTAAGCATTCGTTGAAGATTGCAGTTGTTCTTGGTATTTTCCTGCCTCTAAGCATGAAACTTAAAGAAATCAAGGATTCTCCAGTGACTGCTTCTAAGTTTGCTAAGGCACTAAAGAGGTATCCGAGGAGATAAAGAATGGAGTAAAGGAGACTCTAAACTACAGACATCAAAACTAGAACTTGTGGGTCCCTAAAAGTTTTAAAACATTAGCTGTTCTCTGATACAGAGTGCAACTAATTTACATGAAATCCTCATTCCATGAAATCCTGTCACACTAAGCCCTGTAAGATGCTTATGATGGTGGCAGGAAATTATTCTTCCAAGTCATTACTTTCACTGTGATGGCAAAAAAAAAAAAAAAAAAAAAAGCCCTTTAAATAATGTATAAAATGTAGGAAAGCCAAGATGTAATAATAACTCAGTTTCAGGATTCACTAATTATAAAGCAATCAGGCCATGAAAAGCTCCATGAAATGCCGTATGATTTTTGAAAATACTCTGTAATACGGTTATAACAGAAATTTGTGTGTCTCAAATTAAAGGTCTCTAAATGCTATGAACTCAAACTGAAGTAATGCACAAAACTGCAGGTACAAGGAACCTGGTGATGATCTAACAGAACCATTTGATAGATGAAAAAACTGAGGTTCAAAAATATTTCCAAAATCCCATCCACTTTATGAATGTCTATTTGAATTGCATATGGCAGACAGATGCAACCACCGGTGCAGATCCTGATTAGAATTAAGGCACACACTGCTTTGGCGGGAAATGACAAAGGCCTGCTCAGCAGAGTCATATGGCAGTGACACAGGAGCAAATTACCCTTCTTCCACTTTCCAAGTCTCTGTTGAATGTAGTCATCTTCAATGGAAAGGGCTTTCCCAAGGAATTAGACTCTTTACACTCAAAAACACATTAACATGGCTTCACTGTTCAAAGCACGGCATGGTTCTTATTCAAAAGTAGAAGCAAATGATGTGCAATAGAGATCAAATGAAAATACATCAGTTTTGTTTTTTTTTTCTTCTTTAAAAATAAGAGGGGTGGTGCAAGGGGTTAAGTCTCAGCACTGTGAAGCTATCGACAGACACTGCAGCACGAGTTCGATCCTTGGCCGGGGAGCTAACCCACATGGCGCAGTAGACCTCTCCTGTCTCCCCCGCTGCTCCCCTCAATAGTGTATTTTGCTCAATCTACCTGTTCTGCTCCCCACTCTGTCTCTGGTGAATCCTCTCAGTTCCCCCCACACTTACCTCTGGCCTACACCCCAGTTCTTGTATGCATAAATAAATAAATAAATCTTTTTTTAAAAAAGGGAATATTTCAGCTTAAGTCTTATCCACAGAATAGCAGCAGCGAGGGAGGAAGTAATAAATTTCCACTCCATTTTCCTATGTATATTTAGACAAGGCTAATCAACAGAAGTTTGAAAATTTTCAAGCAACTTATTTCATAAATAAAATTTCCATATTTTTATTGCTGCTGAAAAAATTTGCAATGATAGCAGAGAACTTTGCGGAAACAACAAAAAAAAACTTCTGACAGCATATTATTTTCCATTATTTAAGCAACATAAGGTCATTCATGCATCTTAAATCTAAAATTCTATCTACCCTCCTCATAGTTAAAACAGTTTGCAAAAAAGTTATAGCTGGGACCAATGTTTGAGTAACTGATTTTGTCTAACCACCAACAAACTAAGACTTCATGATTATTAGTGATTTAATATGAAATGAGAAATCGTCCCACACATCTTTCCACTGCTTCCTCTTTTAGGCACATATTCTGTTCATGTATGTATTGGTAACTGGTTCAAAAATAATGTTGTCTTAAAACCTCCATGACTTCAACTTTATAGTTCACTAAATGTAAAATGTAATCAAGGCATAAAAGCTGGGAAGTGAATTGTATGGACCAGTTACTACCTGAAAATGACACTTTGTAAGTCAAAGGGGTATTCGATGATCCCTGTGGTGGGGACTCGAACTCTAAGCACATCTTGTTGTGTAGGCAGGTAGGAAGGGTCAGCAACACGGTCCAAGTCATTAAGATAGCTAGAGGAAAGAAGACACAAAAAGACAGTTAATAGTAACATCACACCAAATCTACCCATGAAAAGGGCAAAAATGAATGAGAGAGAAGTGGGGAAAAGGGAAGTATCAGAAAGTAGTAGATAAGTTTGGGAAGTCAAAAGATCAAGTCAACCTCCCATTCATCACAGCCAACTACCAAACAATGGATTACCTGCCTCATTATATTTCTCATTTCTTCTCCCACTATACTTAGAATCCATATAATAAGTAGACACGGGTAATAAAAGAAATTAAATCAGTCTGCTGCCCTCTATTTGTTTAGCAGATAAAGGCAGAGTTTAAGGCAAATAATTTTTGAATAATTTATGCAAATTTTATTTCTATACATAAACAGGTAAAAGAGTTACAGGGTCAGGATGCATTCCCCCCTTTTGCAGAACATGTCCTGGTCTGTATTTCCTTATGCCCTAAATTCTGTTCAAAGCCCAAGTCATTCATGCTTAATGTGAAACCACAAAATTTCTAGTTATTGTAATAATAATGTCTGAAGTCAGAAATTCTCAGTGTTTAGTGTCACCATACCTACATTTTAAATTTATCTGTTTATATATATTTTATTATTTTTTTATTTTGAAATAATTTTAGACTCACAAGAAATTTGCAAAGCATTACAGAGAATTCTCCTATATCCCTCACCCAGCTCTCCCCAATGATAACATCCTTTGTAACCATAATATATTATTAACACTAGGAAATGGGCATTGATCCAACACTATTATCTACATTTTATTTAGATTTCATCAGTTTTCATACACACACACATCACATACATGCACACACACACTTTTTGAGTGTTTAGTTCTATAAAATTTTATCACATGCAGACATCCATGCCACCAGCACAACAATGAGGCTACAGAACTGTTTGTATCTCCACAAAGACAAACCAAAACAAAACAAAGAAAAGGCATTGCTACCTCCCCCAATCCTAACCCCTGGCAACCGCATTTTCTCTATCAGTATAATTGGGTCATTTCACAAATGTTATTTTCCATTCACTTCTTTTTTTCCCCCAAAGTGCAAAAGATAATTTGCAACTTTGGGAATGACATAATTTGACATAACTGATGACAAACAGGTGTTCTGTGCAGCATCTTCAGGACCTCAAAGAGTAACTGTGCTCTCCATGGCCTCTTATAGAACATACATATGGTTTTGAAACAGCAAATACAAAGTCAAAACAATAAGCAAATCATGTGAAAACAGGATGTAAAGAAAATGTGGAGCCACTAATATATGTGGAAGAAGATAAATCTTAAGTATCTTCATGCCCACAAATAAGACACAGTGAGTTCTGAGACATGTAACGGAAATTCCAATGCAAAAACACTTTGTAACTCAGCAAGATCACAAATACTCAACTGACATGACCTACCTAGGATACGGACTTTGTCTCACCCATCATTATTTCTGCATTAATACTTAATGACTCTTTGTTGGGTGGATGGACGGAAGGATGAATGGATAAATTTCCTATGCTGGTACGTATAGCATTACTTTTGTATCATTTCTACTGATGATATTGCTAAATTTGAAACTAACCACTGCGAAAAAGAGAATTGTGGAATAAAATAATAGAGCTAAATCTGACTTGAACAAAGAAATAATTGCCTATTTGGAGGTGTATCAATTCTTTAAAGTTAAAAAAAGTATCAACTTGCAAAATCCTGTAACAAAGCAACAATATTCTAGTGGCTTTATCCCAAACACATCAAGGATTTTCTAGCTGACTATTTGTTTAATATTGACTGATAGAAAGCAGCCTGATGGCTTTAATTATTATAAAACTGGTTAGGGGATAAAAAGGGGAGGCTAGGAGAATACAAATGTGAGAGACAAGAAGGAAATATAAAAATGGAGTTGTTCTAAATTTTACTCAATATCTTGCCATGGCCTTACAATCATCTGATGGGGCTAATGAGTCCATGTTCGGGGGAATTGGTGTATATCTCATTCACAGATAAACATTCTCATCACACCAGAAATGTAAAATCAACTGGTTTCTCTGTATAGATGGAATTAATCTGGTTTATCAGCTCCATAATTTGAACAACTTGAATGTATATTTTGAAACCCACAAGATCAGCATTTATTTAACTACTATATGCAAAAAATTAACTAAGAGGTCTCAGAGAAATTCAAATTTACACTAGGCAAGTTTATTCAGAAATACAGCACCCAATGAACCATTACTATTCAGTATTATCCACAAATGTCAGAACAGAGGGTGACTAATTCTTATATACAGGTGCTGTTTTGTTTCTCTGGTAAAAAGAAATTGTGGTTTTCTGTTTCTTGAAGATGAATTAATAAACAGACTACTCATTGTAACTCCACATTTAAATGTCAATGTGTATTTGCTCATGAGGATTTCAAGAACCAGCACATGAAATAGGAAATGACCTGTTGCACTGCACAGCAAGAACCTTGCTAGTCTCTCTTCAATTTAAAAGGATCAGTTCAGCATCCTGAAAAACATGCTTGGGTAAGACAGAATAAGAGAACACCAGTGACTGAAAGCACCACTTACAAAGGTTTAGAGGCTCTCCTAAAATATTGTCAGTGATGTCTTTCATCGAATCTGGGGCACGGAGAAATACCAGCTAAACACCTAAAACATTCACACCTGCAAGAGGATTTTCCCTGTTCAATTTCTTTTGCGCCTTTTCAATGTCACTATAGCTCACACAGTAACAACATCAACATAACAACTAACTTATACTGAGCACTTGCTGACTGCCAGGTACTCTTCTGCCTGTTCACTGTGCAGGTTTGGACATAGTTCATGGCAAGGAGACAGTCATTACAGATGATCCGTATATTTCTGATTAACTTGAAAGTGAACTACAATTCTTGCTTTGCCTTTCTGCCTTTCTTGCCTTTCCAATGTTCCTTCTGCTTTGCCTCATTTGGATGACAGAGGCTCACTGAATTTGGAGTAATAAAGTTAAATTAACCTAAAGAAAAGAAAATAAGCTGAAAGAAATGGTCTGCTAGTTGCATCAAGCATCAACTAGAACCAAAACCACCCCAAAACAAGACAAACAACAATAAAATAACCCCAATCAAAGAGAAGAAAGACATATAATGTGTTTTTTCACTTTGAGATTAGATTAGAAACCTTAGTGGTTTTGAATCTAAGACACGACTGAGGATATGCAACCATTTGTGGAGCAAACTGTTCTGAAGCAAACATGCAGGTAACCAAAATCTGTGTTTTTCACTGCCAAGGAGAGAACAGCATGCAGAGCTCCTATATGGCTAGTCCCCAACTCCACATGCTGCCCTCACTACGAGTGTAGGTAGGGGACATGGAGGCACTCAGTGCACTATCTGTAGTTCACATTTACTTAGCCACTCTATTCCCTTAAAATAGAGTTCTGGCATCGTAAGATTAGTGCATCCTCACTTGTTGATTCTAGCCACATTCTGGGTAAAAGTAATGGAATAACCTCTTAACTGAATTGCATTTCCCATTGAAACATTTCATACTCTGCTGGAAAACTCTGGTGGAATATGGGGTCGGGGGGAAGAGGGGCAATGGGTCACAATGGATTATTCCATTCATTTAGCCTTTTACAAAGAAACACTGAAGTCTGAACACACATACTGCAGAGTAAATTCAGAGAGTTAATTATAGCTATGATTTGTTTTGTAGGAATGATTTTGAGTGGCTGCTGAGGTCATTCTCAGGGTGTTGCTATGGTGACAGGCACAAGGTACATTTCCAAGGCAATGTATGTGTAACAAGTGGCTGGCAGTTGCTCTCTCCGGATGTCAGGGAGAGAAGGTTTCCAAGGCATATGTGGGATTTATTTAACCATCTAAGAGACAAGGCATGTTTACAAAACACGAAGTTTCATTGATCAAACTCACTTCAATCCCTTCATGGGAATTTAATGACTTGCCATTGCTTTGAGACATCTAATAATTGATAACTTGATAGTGATTTAAAAAAAAAAAAACAAACATTTTTCCAAGTGTGCTTGCCCAATTAGGGCTCATAGTCCATGAGGTCAGAGACCATTAAAACTATTTTGTGGAAAATACTGGAGTGGTGAGAATATCAAGTTAAACCTTTTAAGAGAAAGCAATGGGAGGAGGAGGGGTTGTTAGTTACCATTTTTATATAATTACCTTTCTGGACTATTACTGGCTGGCATTATGTAAAAACTAAATTCTGAATTTAAAATGCCTCTGACAAATGTAAAGACAAAACAGAAAGGAAAGGCAAGATTTGTTTAACGTCATTTAGCAATTGTGCTTCCTGTTCTTAGGTTCTGTCCACAAAAATACATCCATTTATGCCTGTCAGTGTCAAGCTTTCCAGCCTTGGAATTTTCTCTAATCCAGGGCAGACCAAGGGAGTGGTACCTTATTAAAAGACAATTCTGATACAATCTCTTCACTGGAAGAAATAGGTTTCTGGTGGTTTTCAGTGACAATGGGGCAACAAAGAGATGTATGGCATAAAAGCTCAATAGTTCTTTTGCTACCACCAGAAAAACTCAGGGTCATCTGGAATTTAAGAACACATCTTGACCATGACATTTCAGTAGGTGGTAAGGGTATAAAGGTTCACAGCATAGGGTCCATGCCTACAAGGAGTTTTCTCAATTGGAGGTAAGAAAGGGTTATATGAAGAGGAGAAATGGTGTTTAATAGGGAAGGATAAATGTATATTTGGCAGTCATTTTCTGTGAAACTATGTGAACTCTCTCTAAACCGTGGTGATTATCTACAAAACATCCTTCTGTAAGATGACTGATCTGCATAAAAGAATTAAGGAAATTATGCTCATTAGCATAATTGCAACTTCTAGCTAATAAATTCTTGTATCTTTAACTTCAGGATAACCCCTGACAGAAAGGGGGAGAGAGAGAGATAGAGAGAGAGAGAAAGAAAGAGAGAAAGAAAGAGAAAAAGAAAGAGAAAGAGAGAAAGAGAGAGAGAGAGAAAGA